GCACATACAGTACAAGATTATAGTCTAAAAAATAGCACCATACAGTAAAATTTTAAAGATAAAGATACTTCATAAATACTGACTATTATAATTTATTGTTAAAAACACATTTATGATGATTTTTTTAAAAGTTATTTTATTTTATTTTATTTTATTTTATTTTTTTTTTTAAGATTTTTATTTATTTATTCATGAGAGACAGAGAGAGAGAGGCAGAGGGAGAAGCAGGCTCCCAAGAAGCAGAGAGCCCGATGCGGGACTCGATCCCAGGACCCTGGGATCATGACCTGAGCCGAAGGCAGACGCTTAACCATCTGAGCCACCCAGGCGCCCTAAAAGTTATTTTATATTAGCTTTCATACTATATATTTTAGCAATGATAATTTTTATCATTATATAGTAGCTGCTGATTTTAATTTAAAGTATTACTATTTTTAGGAGTATTAGCCAAAAAATAAATGATAATTACAAAAAATTATAATAAAATAAATTTGCATTAATTTTACATTATTAGGGATGCCTGGGTGACTCAGTTGGTCAAGTGTCTGCCTTTGGCTCAGGTCATGATCCCAGGCTCCTGGAATCGAGTCCTGCATCAGGCTCCTTGCACAGCAGGGAGCCTGCTTCTCCCTCTGCTTGCTGCTCCCACTGCTTGTGCTTGCTCTCTCTCTGGCAAATAAATAAATAAAATCTTTAAAAATAATTTTACATTATTAATTTTAAAACTAGTTTTCTAAACAAATTACTGAAGAAGCAGTACTCCAACCAAATTTAGGTATAAAAGTTGATTCCTACTTATGTTATTATTTATCTTAGATACTTGAGGAGAGTTGAGAGGAAACCAAATCGGCAAATGATGAGAAAATGTAGAGTGCTAAATTTTGTTTTAAGTCTTCAATAAAAAGTTCTGTCCATCTTTTTACTGGTGTCTATCAACAGTAGGCAAAAGATCAGGAAAAAACTCTGACAACCGAACCTGAGCATGCTGCCTGAGAATGAAAGCACTTACCTTTGGCACACATTTCTTCCCTCATTTATCTCCTCCACAAATACCCAACATTCGAGCAGTTTCCTGGCGTTACTGAAGTTTCCATAGCACAGCCCCACTCTCCTCCACCCTTGTTAAAAGCTGTGATATATTGTTCCCAGCATCCTCTCCCCTAATCAAAAATTACTGTTCTCTGCCCAAGGTCCTTCTCCATTCAATGTTACAAGAGAAGGTGACTGTTTGATAAGAACGTAATTTATTACTTCTCCAAGAATATTTGCATTTTAACAAAAAATAAAACTTAATCTAAATGAGTAGATAACTAATGGTGAGACTGAAGACACAGAGGCAAAACCAGGTAGAAGAGTGATTTTCAGTACTTTGCAAACCATGTCTTATATGTTATTATTTATTTCTTTCAATTCCTACATTGCTGAAGAAATGCAAGGAAATGCAAGGAAAAAATTCATTTTCTGGTGAAGTGCTCAATGTACAAAGAATTGACAAATCATAAACTACTTCTGGAGAGTAAAAATAAACTGAGAGGAAGAGTGGATAAAGAAAACAGGATTGTTATTTATAAAATAGCAAAATATTAAAAATTATAGACTGTATTCTGTTTTGCAGTAGTGCTTTCGTTCCTTTGTGGGTGGACTTGGGTTCAGAGAATGAAGAGAGATCACAGAAATATGAAGAGACTGGATTATAGTGTATCTCTACAATATTTCTAGCAGAAAAAAAAAGATCTAAAAGTTGTGGTGAAAGATACACTGATGTCTTTATAAATTTGCCTATATTTGATTCTACTTCTTTGATTTTTTCACTTGTAGATTTTATGATATCAGAACATACTTGAGAGAACAAAGTCATGTTGAAAGTCAGAAAGAACTTACACAAAGGGGGAGGTGGTAAAATACTTCTCAGAATATAGTATCTACATGACAAAATTCACCAAAATCAAAGATTTTCCACAAGGAATTATACCTCCCTTTGGAATACTTTAAGTATGCATTGTAATGTGTGTTGTTTTGCTTACAATAGATTTTGCTTATTATATTAGAAAACTTAGACTAAAAATAAAAGAGGAGGGAGCAGAAGAGAAAATTATAATTGTTAATGGTTAGTCCACAAAATGGATGATTCATATATGAATAATTAAGAATTAACTAAGACCATATTTCACACATTGCGCTGTATTACTTCCTAACCAGGTGATAATCTGGCTCTACACAGCAGCAGAAGCAAAATCAACTTTAAACGGATAATGCTTTTCTCTTATGTTAAGAGGGTGCATATACCAACAAAATGAAGAACAGGAAGTTTTGCAAACATTAGCAGAGAAATTAACACTTTCAATTAAGATAGGCATTTTCTGGTTAAACTTTATATTATACAAGATTGGCCTATGAATTTCCCCTCTTTTTCCTCTACATAATAATAATTGACTATATTATATGCTGATAATATAAAATAATTTTAAAAGCACTTGACTTAAACATACGTGCTTTTCTTTCCGAACCATTTGCATATACATTTCTTATGATAAATGTGAAAAGCACACACGTAGACATTCAGTTATTGTGAACGAAAAAAAAATTAACCTTGAAATATAGAATGTTATGCTCACAAAGATATGGTAGGCATCTTCAATTTAGGTGATGTATGTGCAAACTCAACTCATTTGTTGTTATATCCAGTATGAGAATCAGTCTCCTAATACTTACCTCTTAATATCATATTTTATTTGTGAAAAGTAAATGTGTTTTGCCTACATGAAACATTATTAAGAAATTCGGGGCTAGCAGGACTTTTTAATTTGTCATCACAATTTATAATTTTAGGAGACTCGCGTGACCCTTCTGTCTCATTTCTGAATCTATTTGCAACAGAATACAATTGCATTCAAAATTTTGACTTTTACATAAGGTTTTATTCATATACTCAATACTATCTGTAATTAAAAGCACAGGCTGTTCTTTTAATCTTAATTTAAGTCTATGATTGGAACAGTCAATATCTGTTATGTGCTTAGAAATGTGGAATTAAAGTTATTACACTTACTTTTTGTCTGTATTGGATTTAGTCAATGCTATTTATCACTACTTGTTTATTTTGACACCTTGGCCTTTATAAGACAGAAACTCTGATAAAGTTTTATGACTTTCCTAATTCTCCTTCTTATTTTTTCCCCATGTGAAATGTATTAAAAAGCATTGATTAATAAAATCATGTGTGAATATTAAGCACTAGTAGATTAATTAGGAGGCAACGTCTTTAGAAGTCTTTGGGGAAAAATGTATATTGCAAACCTTTAGAATTTTGCTTGTTTTCAATTATGCCTCTTTTTTCACTTAAAAAATATTATAACTGTTAAGACAAGTGTTTTAAAAAGTAATAACTTTTCTTGGAGGACGTGGGTGCCACAGTCATTTAAGCATCTGACTCTTGGTTTCAGCTCAGGTCCCGATCTCAGGATCATAAGATCGAGCCCCACATCAGGCTCTGTGCTCAGGGCAGAGTTGGCTTAAAACTTCCTCTTCCTCTCCCTCTGCTCCCCCACCTCAAATAAATAAATCTTAAAAAAAATTAAAAAAACTATAACTTTTCTTGAAAGTTTTCTTTTATACTAGAGCCATGGATTCATAGCTATACCACATTAGAGAAAAGGAAAGAAATCAAGAATAGTATATAAAATGGGAGATGTGTAAATATTTACACAGAAATAACAGAAAACAAGTTGCAAAAATGTATAGTGGCTAACATTATAAGGAGGATAAAAATGAGAAAAATAATCAGGTATGAATCCAAAAATATATAAAAATAAAGACCAAATACGTGGTTATTGTTTTGTTTATCCACTAATTAATTCTTCCATTTGCTCAAATTTACTGAGTAGTTAATATACAGAAGTCATTTGACTTGGTACAATGTAGGTTAACAATAAAGGCATCAAAATAAATAAACTGAAGCCCTGCAATCTATCAATAATATACACATGTGGAAAGTTAAAAGGTGATGATATATTGACAATATATTTGCTTAAGAAGTTATAAATAAAGAAATGATTTTTGTTATTCACTAAAGCAAGGAGTGTTTCTAATATGCACAAAACTAGGTGCTAAAAATATTAAAGCAGGACCTGCTCCTGCCACAGCCAACATGTAGAGGATGTAATTAACTAAAGTATTAATTAAAATACACACATGTACACACATAGGTTCACATGAGAGATTTTAACAAAGTGTTTGTGATTTATGCCTTGTATGAAATGGTGGGGCATAAGTTATTCAATACCAGCTTCACAAAGGATATAGACTTATATATGAATCAAGAGATTTCATCAATGCATCAGGGACAGGAATCATGGAAGTTAATCTATCAAGGACAAGAATGAGGAAGAACGTGAATAAAGAATAGAAGCATGGGTTATATGGTGGAATTATATGGTGTATGAAGCAAAATATGTGTTTAATGAAATAATGCATTTCAGAAATGATAAATAATCTGTTGTACTCAGATTGATGTGTACCCAATTCAAACAATACATATGTAAATTTAAATAAAATAATCTAAATAACTGGATTCAGAACACTTAGAAAAGACCTAACTTTCATTCAAAAAAGTAGACTGTTTTCATATGCCAAAAAGTCTTTTAGATGTTCATCTGTTAGACTCATAAAACTTTTTGCTCTTAGGGGTTTGTAAGTATATAGACAATAGGAAGAATTACTATGATTTTTTTTCAAATTTTACTAGATTTCAAATTATTCTAATCATCTTTCATAGATGAGTAGAACATTTTGATTAAAAGATTTAGAGAGCTAAAAAAAATTTAGAGAGCTAATAGCTTGATTCGGGGTAATTGTTTGACTTACTCTACTAAATATCATTAAGTATATAATATAAAAATAGATGATATTTCTACATGTGAAATCCTCAAATATAATTTGTTTTGCATTCTTAATTAGTACTACAACTAGAGCTGAATGCAAGTAATATAAATAATACATACCAAAAAATTGATAGCAGATACTGTGACTTGCCGGTTTCCAAATGCTAGAAAGTAAGAAAAGAAGATGTAATGCAAACATTCATATTTTGGACTGCCACACTATAAACATAATTTAAGCAATGTTTATTGGATATTACTATCCTCTAATCCAAAGTACAGTGGTGTATGTAATTGACCCTTTGGGATAGCACATTTGCAAACCAAATGGATGAAAATATTTTTGCTATCAACATATACTTTTTTTCTAGTCACTTAATTATATTTAGAATACAAAAGGAATCTATTTTTAATTTGTATTATTAAGCTCTTTGAAGGCAGATTTAATCTTTCATTTGTCACCTTAAAAGCACATCATATGGCATAATATATGATGGCACCCAATGATAACTCTTGTTTTTTAACATTTAACAACAAAAAAACATGCTAATAAAAACTTTTATTTTATGCATTGATATTTTATAACAGGTAATATTTTATTTTTTTTATTTTTCATCTAAAAACAAATATATGAGGCAAGCATTAATGTTCTCATCTTAAAGTAAATAAAAATTTAGGTTACATGTTCCCAAATTATATAGAATAAGGAATAAAATAGAATTTTAGACAGTGTCTTAAGGTTACCTTTCTCATGGTAAAGAAGGTGGAATATACAAAAGTACTAAAAATAAAATTTTCTGATATCATCTGTATTAACAGTTGCATTTCTTTTTTTTTTTACTTTTGTGTGTGTGCATATACATTGTATTTATGTAAACACATTTACACAATTATAATGTCTCATTTTAAATCTTGCATATTTTATAAGAATATATTTAAAGGAATTTCTAATATTATTAAATGTTCATTGTACAAGCTATGACAATATCTGCATCATAATGTATAACGTGGCTAGCTCTAAAAACATTAAATATTATCTCACTGCTGCATAATTAGTGCTACTTTAATTTTTTGTATGATAAATACTACTTCAAACATCTTTCTTTATAAGTCTTTTATGGAAGTTCCATGGGTTAGAAATTTTAAGGATGATTTAGTCAAAAGTTATGTAAGTATCTATGCATGGATATATGTATATATACATATATATACATATACATATATATATCCATAAAGCATATATATAAAATATGTAGAAGTATTGAATGTTTTGTTTTTATAAAGTACATATATCTAATTATGAAATAAAATACATTAATACATTAATGGAGAAAATTTGGAAAATAGATAAAAATGTAAAGGGAAATAAAATACATTAATATCCCATTATCCATGATAAATCAGTTAAAACTCAGATTTTCCCTTGGAAATATACATATTTGTTATACACTTTTTACAGTATCTTATAAAACACTTTTATAATCATTTATTCCTTAATATTATATTTGCCATATAACTAAGCAACATTTGCCATATAATTAAACATTCTTCTTTAGCTAAATCAAAATATATATATTTTTTTATTTATGCTACTTCTAGACAAAACTTTATTCATTCAATAACAGCTATTAGGAATTTATAGGACAGGCACTATAATGTGTGCTTGTGATAAAATCAATTATAAACTAAGCCAAAAGCAACTCTTATCTTAATAAAAATTACTGTCTAACAAGGAAACAAATAATAATCACAAGATAACAAAGGGAAGTGTGCAACCCTGATAAGTGCTGGCCTTACTAAGAAAGGCCTATATAGTATTTAATGTAAGAGCTAAAATGAAGGATTTAATCAGGGAGATCAAGGAGGACTCTCTGAGTACATGGTTGAACTCTGATTTAGAAAATGAAAAGATATTAAATAGACAAGAGAGGGGTTCAGAACATTTCATGTAGTAGGACAGTGAAAATATACCTTGTTTTCATTTTTTAATAAGAATAAATAATGATGTGATAAAAACAGGTACAGGGACAAAGAGTATAATTTTTAAATATTTTTAATGTTTATTTCCAAAAAGCAAAGCTACAGATACTGTAATTTGAAACAAACTTTCTATAAAAAATTTTAACCATCATTAAAACTTTCTGTAATTTTTTTTTAAGATTTTATTTATTTATTTGTCAGAAAGAGACAGAGAGCGAGCACAAGCAGAGGGGAGGGGCAGAGGAAGAAGCAGACTCCCCGCTGAGCAAGGACCCCCCCCCCCCCCACCACCCAATGCAGGACTCAATATCAGGACCCTGGGGTGAAGACCTGAGCCGAAGGCAGAGGCTCGACCGACTGAGCCACCCAGGCCTCCCTAAACTTTCTGTATTATTTTTATAATTTTTATAATATTTTACATTTGGCGAGAAAGAAAAACAGGTTGTTTTTATTTGATTGCTGCTGATACTAACATTTATGTATTAAGTTTTCTGAACATATGCATGCCAGTTTACAGTTAATGGAATATTCTTGCCATTGGGCAGTTTTTAATTATCATAATTTGTCTCCTATTTACTTTAAAATATTTTCAAGAAGTACAAAAAATTACTTCCTTAATGGTATATGTGGTGAAAATACATAATAATAATATGTAGTATTTTATTCAAGTTAGTGTGTCAAAATGTACAGATGCTATTAATTTTATGCAGTCAAATCTGTTGAGAATAAGACTAGACATGATATTTATTCACTTTCCGGTTGGAATCAATATTGTAATGTTATATATGTTTTCACAGAATTTAAGTCCTACTTACATCTTATGCATTTAAGAGTCTTGAGCACAGTAAAATTAGACTTTCAGGGCCTCATTTTCCTAATCATAATCGGGAATATTAGCACTTACATAAAAATGTTTCTTCTTACAAAAGAAACAGATATTTTACAATTATTGACAAACATTAAGTTTTCGATAAATATTTTGCATATGTTAATAACAATCAGCTTCTATTATTTTGTATCAGATACGTGAATGTAGCATTTTTCAGAGGTTCCTCTTAAACACCTTGTGGAGCAAAAATATCTGTCCATTAATATTCTAACGTTAGTAGGTACATCTTCTGATAAAATATTTTTTTTAAAAAAATTTTATATAATATTAAGAAATTTTCCCCTTCAATATTCATAGTTAATTGTTAGTATTTAGAAGAATTAAAGTTTTGAACATTGCAATGATTTACTTTTAGCACACTCAACTAGATTTGCTGATCTTAGTAAAGATTTTGTTGTTGGTACTTCAAGCACAGGTATTAAGATGGTTTAACTTATATTATAAAATCTAAAATAAAGCCTGACTACTCCATTCATTTCCATTTCAAACTTCATAAACACCAGAAATAGACCACACACAAAAAAACTGTCAATAAAATGTGAAACCTCCACCCTTGTAGCACCCTTGTAGCTCTGTGTGTGTCTTGAGGGCTGCAGTAAAAGCTGAGGAGAGAAAAGTCCACAGCAAATAAAAGAAATGGAATTCTTTGACAAGGACAGCTATTTTTCTTCACTTTTATGAAATGAGGATTTAGGTTTGGTCCATTGTGTTTTCCACCAAACTGCTTCATCTGAGTCAATGGTCAGGACATTTAATAAAGTTATAAACAGAAAACAGTATGTTACAGAAGCAAATTGCTTCTATCTTTTCTTATTGAATTACATTTAATATAATAATTACATAATTATTGTGTATTTTAAAAATCCTGATAGCTGATTTTATATGATTGATTTTGTGACTATATGGAATTTTTCTTTTTAATCTTCATTCTTTCATTTTACTATCTGTCATTTTGGAGGTTTACAATCAACTCATATTTTTGCTAGAGTTCCTATGGAGAGAAAATAAATCAAAGTATGTCGGTCAAGTTTGTTTTTTTAAATCTACATAAAAATGTAATAGAGTATGATATGGAAGCTATTAAAAATTGACATCTTTTTCATTATTTACTTCTTTTTTTTAAGTGTGCCAGGTTGTTCATTATTTCTGTGTAGTGTAGAAGAGAGTTTTGATGTTGGCAATTTAGTATGTGTTTAATTAAAAAGAAATCCTACATACATGGTGGTGTATACTGTGGGTGATTAATGTAGTAGGCAATCCAAGAAGTAAATCCCCAATAAAAGGCACAGGCCTATAAATAAAACATAATAAAAGTTAGTGAATATATATAAAATCTATCATATCATTTGAAATCATCCCATATACTTATATGCCACACTGCAGCTTATTTTTTTGTATGAAAAATGGTATGTTCTAAGCAAGATAAATGAAATGACTCCTCACCCAATAAAGTAGCATTTTACAAGTACCTATTTGATATCACTAAGGAAAGGCATTAACCTTATTAATATAAATGGGTACTTAGGTTATAAGGCAAATGTAACACTATATTTTAGAATATTTTCAAGAGTAGTCTTTGACTATCAAGTAATAAATATAAATGAAGTAATAAAATAATAAATAATGTATTACATAAAATATACTAATATTCATTTTCCAACAGTAAGTGAATAAGATAATGAATTATTTAATCGTTAGTAAAACATATCTTGATAGATTGTAAAGGGAAACAACCTAATTCAAAAAGTCCTAGGCTATAATGCTGATCTTGTATTGATATGATAAATTTTCATATCTTCTGCCAGAATAGAAGCTAGTCTAAATGATTTTTGAGGTTTCTAAGAGTCTTGGAGTTTATTTGCTTTATTACAGTGACAACAATAGAAAGACTTGTTGAAATTTTTACAAAACAGATATTTGTCAAAAAAGACAAGAAATTTTTAATAAGGAAATATTTCCTATTGAAAGTAAACTTTAAATCGGAAATTAAAATAAATTGGAATTAGAATTGGAAAATTGAATTGCAACATGTCATCCAATGTACATTTCCACTTCAATATTTCATAAAACTTCCCATATTCTTGACAGCTATTTGATGGGATGGTTATTAACTCCTGCATCCACCACTTTTGGAAGAGCAAAGACACTGTCATCACACTGACAACTGTCATAAATACAGGGTGTGTTTTCATCATTGTTATCACACAGATGTATTTTTACAGGAGGGTTCATATATGACATCCCCCCTCCTCAAGCGGCACTTAAAGAATCTGAATTCAGTGCTAAGTATTTCCAAAATCAAAGATACCAGAGAATACAGGGCTTGTAACAAAAGGCCATGGCAAATCTTTTATGTAGGGTTATTGGTTGAACACAGCTCCAGTGAAATAGGTCATTCAGGAAGTGGCATCTCAGGAGTGGATGTTTAAGATATGCTGACACAGTTGAACAGAAAATTCTAAGCATAAGGAAAATAAACATGATTTTGTATCATTTTATGGATGACCCAATACACAAAATTTCTCAATAATAATTAAAATTACAAAACATATCAATCCTCACCTTTATCAAATTTTTCAAAGGTGTATGTCCTGCAGAAACTTTATGAACAAATAAGGTTTCCAAAAGATATCGGATATAGTGTATACAATGACAGAAGCAAGCCAAGCTAGAAAGAAAATAAAACATGAACATATTAAGTCCCCTTCTAAAGGTCTGGCTTGCCTTACACATAAGACATTTTTTGTTAGTTGACTACAATATTATATTTATTAGGAAATGTTTCCAATAAAAAAACACTAATGTTTATTTTAATATTTTTATTCTAGAAATATTCTAAATTTGTTTCACAATAACAGTACTGTCACAACAGTCTCTATAAATTTACTTTCGGTGACATTCAAAATACCTTATAATACCAGTCACAATCTATATGTTCACCCCTACCGAGGAATAAATATATAATAATTATAAATGTACTCATATGAAAATGTCACATGAATTAAGCAGAAAATGTACAAGGTTTTTTTTTTTTTGTATACCTGACACACAATGTTACATTAATTTCATGTGTATAACTGGTGATTTAACAAGTTTTACATTATGCTATGCTCCCCACAATTGTAACTCTCATCTATCATCATACAATGCTATTATAATATAATTGACTGCATTATTTATGCTGTGCCTTTTACTCCTGTAACGTATTTATTCCATAGCTGGAAGCCTGTATCTCCCATTCCTCTTCACCCATTTTGCCTGATCCCTCACTCTTCTCCCCTCTGCCATTGGAGACAACATGGATGGACTTAGAGGGTATTATGCTAAGTGAAATAAGTCAGATTGAGAAAGATACCATATGATTTCACTCTTGTGGAATCTAAAAAAAAAAGATGAATAAACACACAAAAAAGCAGAATCAGACCTATAAATAAAGAGAACAAACTGTTGGTTGCCAGAGGGGAATACTTACAAATTTTAAAAATACCCAAAATCTACTTAGAATCCATTTGACATTTTATAATATTCAGAATAACTTTTTCATTGTCTGGTTGTCCTTTAGCAAGAACCATACATTGAAAAGGTTTGAATTTCACTTTTTATGGAGTCCGTGCAGCTTTTGTTTTGTTTAGGTTTGTTTTATGTTTGGTTTTTGCCTACCTAACAAATTGTAATATTTTGTTTGTCTCTTTGTGTGTTTGTTTTTGTTTTTGTTTTTCTAATTGAGCAACTCTTGTTGGCATTTATAAAACTATTGTTTTAAAAGTAGATGTCGTGTGTGTTGCGAGAGTGGTGGGGGGTGGGAGGGATGGGGTGGCTGGGTGATAGACTTTGGGGAGGGTATGTGCTATGGTGAACGCTGTGAATTGTGTAAGACTGTTGAATCACAGACCTGTACCCCTGAAACAAATAATACATTATATGTTAAAAAAAAAAAAAAAGGATAGTAAGAAGGGAAAAATGAATTGGGGTAATCGGAGGGGGAGACGAACCATGAGAGACTATGGACTCTGAGAAACAAACTGAGGGTTCTAGAGGGGAAGGAGGTGGGGGGATGTGTTAGCCTGGTGATGAGTATTAAAGAGGGCACGTATTGAATGGAGCATTGGGTGTTTAATGATGTAGTGTATGGTGATTAACATAAGATAATAAAACAAAAAAAAGTAAATGTCAGACATGATTTACACAAGTATATTTTCTTACTTATTCTTAAAATATATTTCTGTTAAAATCAGTACTGATTTTGTTAAAAATATAAAACTTTGAAAACTGTGGTTGCTATTCAAGAAAATCAATATGGATCAAAAATTGCACACTTACACCAATAAAGTTTGAACGTAAAAATCAGCATTTCATTTACTCTATGCACAATCAAACATTGAGTCTTTACGGGAGTCTATTTTAACAGAATAAATTAATGATTTCGGGTTAATAAAAACAGTGACTTTTGGGAAAACAAATAAATAAACACAAACCAACCTGCCTAAATCATTAGGGAATTTATTATTATTCATTAATTCAGAAAAAAATATAAGTGTGCCCCTATAAGTGGAGAGACAACGTTCAATGTTTGTATATCTCTAAATAATAGACAGATTCTGCAAGAAATGAGAGAACGAAGTGTGGATATCCAGGGGCAGAGCTTTCTAGACAGACGAGCAAAAGGAAAGGTTCTGATTTAGGAGAAGCTTTAAGCCCTGTAGGCTTAAAGGATTGATATGGGAATCAGTATCTCTCCTACCTTGTTGGTTCTTTGTAGGAGTAAATACTTGAGTGATAAAATTTTCCTCTTTGTAAGAAAGCATAAAGTGAGGTTATGCCCAGCTATGTAGCAGAGCACTAAATGAGAAATTTTAGTTCATGCTATGTTTAAATTAGTTTACTTATTTTTCTGATGTTATACCAGCATAGTACACGCAGTTGTATCTTATTATATGGATATATGTCACTTCACACAGTATTGGTAACTCACTTACCATGTTTGATTTCATTCCAAATATTTCTATTTAATTATGGTTGATTTCCCTTCAAATATTAACTCTTTCGCTGTGCAGTGCTAAACTAATTGAACATCCATAAATAAGTTTGGGTCCAATTCTTTTTTCCAATCATAATATTCAAAAATATTTCAGTGGCATATTTGCACTGGAAGGAGTAGGAATGGCTACCATGAGTAAGAAGTACTGAACTTCTACATGAAGTTTACATAAGAGAGAAGAAAGAGGTAATCAGGATGGAGGAAGAGGGATAGCATGTGTAAATGCCCTTCCATGAAAGGGAACATGGTAGGTATCAGGGACAAGAAAGGTCAGTGTGGCTGTGGTACAGATATTAAGGGTAAGGGAAAACTTGATTTGAGATGAGAAAGTCAGGAATCAAATCATTCTCTATCTTCTAGTATCCCTAAGACCTAAATTTTGTTTCTTAATTCACTTAGAGTTTAGTCATTAAATCAGGTTCTTTTTTTTTTTTTTTTTTAACGAATTGCTAACAACACATCTCAGTGTAGCATCTTGAATAATAATTATTCTCTTAATCTTTAATTTGGTAAGCTGAGGGAGAGAGACACAGAGAGAGATTATTCTCACAGTATGCTATATATTGTTGTAATAAACGCCCTCAACTTTTTCTGTACTTTACTTTTACTTTTAACTTTAAAGTAAAATTTATCTTGGATTTTGATTTACTAAAGGTAACTTATAAAACCATTGTTTCTTTCCTATTAATGTTGCCCATGAGAAGTACGTATTTTATTTTATTTAGTTTTATATCTTGAGCTCTTTATATATGACCTCACAACTTTATAATTTTAAGCTTCTTGTAATATTTCTAAATTTCCAGATTTCTTTTACTGTGATCATTATGAACTTATATTACCTCAACTTTAAGGTATACTTAGTAGGTCTTTGTATATAAATTTGCAAGTTGGTGTGTATACATTATTTAAAGTTACTTAAGATATAGTTTCTTAAGTGTAATCCACTTTAATTTTGTTTATAGACAAACTTTAAAATTATATCTGTGTCCTAGTTTATCTCCTCTTCATCTATAGGTACTAATGTATTACTTACTGTACCACTGGGTGACGGAATCTTCTAGAACTCTCTTTCATATCATATATATATGGGATCCTCAAATAAAAGAGGAGATATATCAGCAGAGGTCCTGTGTATTCAGCCAAAAATACCTGAAAATAAGAAAGTGATTTAAATCAAAAAATAAACTTTTGTAGATATTATTAAGATTTATATATAAACATAAGCATGTCTATAAACTTAGCCTACTGAATGAACTGGTAAAATGTGCACGTGGCATTATCTATTCTTTAAATTGAATTATACTGGGTGCTAATATAATTCACAAGAAGTCTTCCTTGCAAGAACTAGCCAAGACTTAAGGACAGGACAATTATAAATGGTGACTTTAAAATAAAAAATAAATATTGAAGCTAATGATTTCTTCACAAATAGTACACAGGAGTTTTTATTTAACTAACCAAACTATTATAAACATATTTCTTAGTGTCTCTCCAGCCCCATACACACTCCATCTTCTATGTGAGCTGTTCCTATAACTGAATGGAATTGGCCTACAGTGACTTTATTTTTTTTTTTTTTTAATTTATATGGCCAGGTCATCTTGAATTTGATTGATTTGACAATGATTCAAATTGAAATAATTTAGTTCTCTCTTCTGGAAATTTTAGACTTTAATTCTAATGAGTTTGAGTAGGTAGTTAAAAGGATTGCCTTCTGAATTCTGGAGCTGAGAGTCAACCATATATATGGAGAGATATATCTGATCTATAGAGACATAATCCTAAAATTTGGAAAGATAATTGGAAACAAGGCTGTGTTAAGATTCACTGGCTGACTGGCCTTCTGATAGTTTTCTAAATATTATGATGGTCCATTATTTAGTTTTGTTTTGATACTAAAACCAGGTTAAAGTCATTCTGGAATTCATACAGAGAAAGGAAAATAATTTATCTCTGAGTGTTCAAAGAGAAAGAATGCAGACATGACAATGATAAATTCAACTGCCATTACTGCTTTGCTTTGTCTTTGCCAATTTTCATTATTTTCTAAGAAAGAAAACTTAAAGCTGCACATGTTTTACTCAAATATGCAGGTGTGCACATTGATTAGAAATTATATTCTTATTTCTCATGAGAACTTTGTATAACTACATGGTTAGATTATATGATATATATATGCATGTTTTATATACATAATTATATCTGTGTGTATATGTACACACAAGTATAAACATTTATATATGTAGGTTTCTTAAGGTATATTTTTTCCATTTAATAGTATTGATCATCCCATTAGCCATGAAAGACTTTTATATGAGGGTAAATATGCAACATCTGATAAAATCAGTGTAAAGCAACTTTTTACTGATAGACTATATTAATTTATGGCATAAAACATGCCTGATTATTCAGATGTAAAGAAAAAAGTGTTTACCACTTTGAATGTCTGATAATAGAGTTTAGTTAATATTCCAGAATAATTACAGTAATTATTTTATTAAAACAAAATATTTAAAATATTTATTTCAATGCCATCTGATCTAGTCAAGTTAATTTTGAGCAAATCCTCTAGTAATATATCAGTAATGAAAAATGTTATGAACAATAGTTAACCTTGACCACCTGTCATTCTTTATTAAGTTAATAAAAATGCTATCACAAATATGAAGTTTCTTTGGATCAGGAAATTAAACTACAGTCTTATCTCCATCATACCCTAAAAATAAATCAGGAGAACCTGGTGGCTTACAGTAATATGTTCAGGGAGGCCCAATATTTTATCACAAATATTGTTCATGCTGAAACATGGGGGTTAAAACAGTACTAAAGTATGAAGGCGATATCCTGACCTGAAAGAAGTAGAGAATGAGAAAAAATAACTTTTGGACAATGCATCTTTCAAAAAAAAAGTATATTTGGGTGCAAATAGAAAAAAAAGGAGTGCAATGTTTTATTAAACTTAGAAAGTAATCTGAAAATAGTTTTAGAATAAATAAAAACAAGGACCAGATAGACAATATTAATAAGACACACTTCTGAAAAAGGAATTTTTCTTCTCCTACTAAAAGAAACAAATCCAAAACCAAAGCCAAATAAACAAATATGCCAGTCATAAGCCCTAACAAATCAGATGAATTTACAAAGACTAGGAAGTCCATTATAATCCAAAAGTTTAGTAGAAATTACATATTCAAAATAAGCAGATAGACTTTCTTCTTACTTTGAATATATATATATATATATATATTACTACTTTTAAATTCCAATTTATGTCCAATATGAAATTATTTTCATGCTTTTCCTTTATAGAATGATCACTGTATTAAACTAATGTGTTGCTTTAAATGTAAAATTTAAACTGATACTAGGCATAGGATATTAAGCATCCTAGGTAATTGAGATTTTTTTTTTTTTTGAACTTCTGTAGAATATTCAACTTGGGATATGTCTAAATTGAAAAAGGAAGAAGACAATAAGATGTTTTAGAAATATAAATTGAAACACACAGCTGCAATTGTTGCAAACTGATTAGAATCTTTGTGCTTAGACTGGGATTAATGCATTTCATCCTCTCTTGAAAAAAAATAAAACTTTTTAGTGCTATTATTATTGGGATGGTGTTGGCTTCACTTATTTTTTAAAATTACAATTGACAGTTGAAATCAAAATAAATTGCATATTTCACAGTTGCTGAAAATTACTGACAAAATAAAGTAGTGCCATCCTTAATCTTCTAATGATGGGAGAGTTATTAAAATTATGAGAGCATTTCTCAACAGTAATAGCACTTTGTACTGAATGAGAACGATTGAAGCTAACATAATACTAAAAGAAGTTTTTGTTTTGTTTTGTTTTAATTTAACCATTATATGAATAACATATAATGGAAAATTTTATTCTAAGTTATTCAAACCATTGTAATGAGATCAGCAAGAAAAGTTGATCAAAATGTTTTTCAGGGTTCAAAGAGCTACTGAGTCACTGAGAATTGAGAATTAGGATTTTTTAAACAGGATTCTAGAATAGTGATTGACTCTAGGATTTGAAATCTGACAACATCCTAAGAAGAAGACTAAATCTTTTGAGGATGCCTGAGAATGAAGGGAAAAAAAAAAAATTGTTGGTTGGCATCTTTTAAAGACAGAAATGGCCTTATAAAATCTCCAGGATTTGGGTTAAAAGCCATGATGAAGCAAAAATGGATGTCTTTACAGGTACTAAAGCTCAGCCTGAAATCATTTCAGTCAATTGGATTAAGATGACATGGGCCAAATAATGCCATTAGTCCATCTACAGGATGATAAATCAGTTTGAATAGAAAGTAACATGATCCTCGGCCTCAAGTTATCTTTACAGGTTGCTCATATATATTTTCCTGCACTATGTCAGAAATATAAAAGTATAATAAGAGTAAAGATATTGTAATCAAATCCAAAAGAAACAACAGACATTCAAAAGAGATAAACTGAAGATCCACAGAGTAGAATTATCAGACACATACATTTAAAAAATGATCTTTTATATATTCAAACAAATAAAAAAAACAAGGCTGAGTATTTCAGCAGATATTTGCAACCTCTGAGAAGAAAAATATGGAAATGTAATAGGAGTCCCAGGAGGAGAATACAAAGAGAATAGTGGAAAACCAAATATTAAAGAGATTATGATAATTTTTCAAATTAAATATTTATACCAAACAGTAGACTCAGATAACACTATAAACCCAAAACAGGATAAATAGGAACATAATTGTAACTGCATGCATCATCGTCAAACAGTGATAATCAAACAAAAGGCAAATTTAATATGAGCCAGAGAAAAGACACAGTATTTTAAAAGAGCATAGTGGACTTTTCAACAGATGCATGGGAGTCAAAAATCAAAATTACAAAATTTTGTAAAGTGAAGAGACAAATATAACTGCCAATATGGAATTATTTTTTTCCACAAAAAAATTTTCCCAAAATAGTTCAATAAATACATTTTTGGATGAACTGAGTTGAAAAAATTCACCAATGGCAGAACCAGAATAAATCACTAAAGATGTTCTTTAGGAAGAATAATGATCACAGATACAAGCTCAGCATTAGAAGAAATAACTAAATTAGAGTGAAAATGATAAATCTAAATGAATATTGGCCATATAAAATTATAGTAGTGGATTTTTACTTAACAGTACCTAGAAAATTAAAATATACCACAATAGAAGATTAGTCAGGAAGAGATTAAATGTCATAAAGTCATTCAATTATCTATGAAGTATTTTCACATCAGTAAACCTAAATTAAATAATTTCTATTAGTGTTCAATATTTTAAAGATGCACATTATAATCTCTTGGGTAACCAGTAGAGTTGGCAAAAAAAGAAGATATAGCCAAAATAACCAAAAGGCTAATAGAAACTGAAATATGACAATTAATTCCAAATAGGGATGAATATAAAAACAGAACAAAAGAATTGTAGAACACAGGAAACAAAGATACTAATCTGGATGATAAAATTAGATATTTCTTTACAATAAAAATAGACTATGATTAAAATGTAAAACATAAAAAAACTATTAAACTGTTAGAAGAAAACATAGGAGAAATCTCCCATATCTAGGGCAAGGCAAAGGGTTCTTACATGTGACAGCAAAGACAATATCCTTAAAACACTGACAACTTAAACTGCATTAAAATTGAAAACTTTTTACGCACAAAAAAAAGAAAGAAAGAAAGAAAAAGAAAAGAAAAGAAAACCACAAATCACATTAAGAGAATGAAAAGGCAAGCTAAAACTGAGAAGAAATATTTGCAAACCACTTATCAGACAAAAGGCTTCATCTGGAATATAAAAGGTACTCTTATAACTCAACAGTGTGTATCAGATAAATAAAAACTTATGTTTATACAAATACCTACACACAGATTGATAACAGCTTTATTTATGGTGAAATACTGAAAGCAATGCAAATACCTGTCAGGGGGTGAATGGATAAACAAACTGCTACATTCATACAACCAAATACTACTCACCAATAAAAGGAACTGAGTATGGATACATGCAATAACCAGGATGGATCCCAAAGGCACTGTACTTAAAGAAAATTAAACATCAATCTCAAAAAACAAACAAACAAAAGCAAAAAAAAAAAAATCTATTTCTG